GGATGTGCTTTTATGGACCAAAGGGGCGGGGCTAGCTCGCCATGCAAATGAGAGCGTCAGGAGCCCAGTTCTGATTGGTGGAGCGTTTGTCCCCCAATCTCAACCCCAGGCGGTCTGGAGCTGAGGTTTCTTCTGCTTGGCTGCAGACGCTTTTGAGTCTGTAGGCAAAAGTTGTATGGAGGCATGTGAGGTGGCTGGCATGCTGGGACCTCACCCCCACACACTCCAGGGTCTATCTCGCGGTTACTCAGACAACCCAGGTGGTTCCATACTTGTCTTTTTATCACCAAGTCCATTCATGTTTGCATGGCCTCCTAGGTTCTTCTTACTCTAATCACTGACTATGCTCAGGAACTGGGGCATATTTTCTGGGCAAGGAAAACAGGGTTTTCAGGAGACGCTCACATCAACACTATGGTCGTCGGAGAGTTTGCGGGTTGTGCTTCTGTAGTGGGGCGGCAGTGTGTGCATTTTCAAGATAAATACTGGGCTCTTTGGGTAAAAATAACAATGGAGCAGAAAAACAGGAGACATTAAAAAGTAAGCTTCTTTGCATTCTGGAGAGTAAAAGATAGGGCTTCAAAGTTCTCTTCAATTTAACTTCAGATTCTTTCCTGGGAAAAATGATGAAAAGGATGGACTTCATCCAAAAGAGTAACACAACAACATCTCGGTTAATCAGAAAGAGTGAAAAAATGGTTCTGTTGGCTGAGAAGGAATTGGAAATGCTTTCTATTTTAAACTAAGCTGTGAAAAATATTTTTTAAGTGCACTTGGCTTTTTTTTTTTTTATTGAGCAGGCTAGACTGCTTAATGCGAGTCCCTTTGGATGTTGTAAAACAGTGCATGAATAAGAAAGGTAATATTCAAATAAAACTGGAAAATATTGCCTATGAAGCTTTGTTTGCGTACATAAACTATTTAACACATCACATGGAAGAAACAAAAAACGCAGGGTGGTTTCAGACTCGTGTGATTCTGGACCCAGCGGCACCTGTGTTCGTATCCTGCTGTATGTGGCTTGTGTCATCTTCTCAGGACCCCAAATTACCAAGTGTGGGTACCCCGTGTGTGTGTGTGTGCATGTGTGCATGCTTTTGATACAATTGAGTGCATCTCTGTTAAAGAGCAAATCAATTTCCTCTGGAGTTGCTCAGTAAACTGTTAAGTTTCATTGGCAAAATACTCTCTCATGCCTCTTCCTAAATCAGCCCATTTAGAGGAAATTGGATTGACTTAGAGAAATCAGGATTGACCTAGTGAGGCTCAGGAGAGCGCCTGAAGCCCTGCCTGTGCCAGGGGCCGCTCTCTCTAGAGAGGAGGGGTGGAGGGGACCAACTGTGTGTGTGTGTGTGTGTGAGTTCTGGGGTGTAGCGGGCAGATGAGCACCAGAGCGGGCAACAGTTGTAGCTGCCACCCTTAGGAGAATCAACTCACTTCTTTCATGGACCTACCGTTTCATATTTCTTGGTAGCAGGTTACGTTTCTGAAGTCTTGATAGCTGGATCCCAATGAAAAGTTACCCCTCGAGTCTTTCCAGTGCCTGCAATATGATAAGATGGCTGGTGAGCCTCCAGGAGAGGGGTAAAGCTGTAGCATTTCACAAATCATGAAGTAATCCACTCTTGAAAATACCGTCCAAGGCATTTTTTCCCTGGGATGAATGTCTTTATGAGTGCAGTTTAGAAACTGCTGTACTGAATTATTAGCCCGAGCCCACTTCGAAGTATGACTTTTATAATGGCCATAATGCCTTCAAGATCTCTGTTTTGAAGCACTCTAAAAATAAGAGAAATTTGTAAAGTAGCAAGTTGTAAAATTAATGTTAAAAAATGAATTTCCTTATAAAATACATTCCATAAAATGTTAATGGAAGAATCTGGTGTTGGGTTCACTGTAAAGTTCTTTCTGCTTTGCTCTATTTTTAAAATTTTTCATGGAAGTTGAAAAATGATTGAACAGCCTCAACAGAAAAGTAACTTCCCTACTTTCAACCCAAACCCAGCAAGAAGATGTAACTCAAAGAAAACCACATTAGTAATAGTGAAACCGATGAGTAAAAGACCTCAAGACACAATTGAAAGAAGCCAGAATGTACGTGACCAACTGGGAAAAGATTGGATCGGAAAGCTCACTTTGGTCAAGGCTTCTGTTCTAGTTAAGTCTATTTAGAAAGGTAGCGTAAACGTCCCAAAAAGGACCGTCTGTCTGTCTGCCTTCTTGACTAATAAATTTCATTTGAGTAAATAAATAACCAGTTAATTTTTTAAAAATTACGCTGGGAAGGAAATGACTATGAATTATTAAAATATGCCATAAAGCTGTAGTGTTGGTACATGAATAGAGAAACCAAACAACGAATCATCTTTGAGTCCAGAATTAGATGCGGTTACATATGGGAATTAACTAAGTAATGAAGGCATCCCTTCACTTCAGTGACATTGTGATAAAAGAGCTCTATGGAAAAGAGAAAATATTTATTTGTTCTTCACAAACAGGCCAGAATATGTTCCAAGTGGATCAAATACCTGAGGTGAAGAAATAAAATTGCCGAACTAGAAGAAAACACAGATGGAACCATACCCTGCATGCCAACCAGGAAGCCCTTTTTTTCCAACGATAATTCAAACTCCAGAAGCGGTAGCAGTAATATAAATTAGTTTACGATAATTATTTTATGAAGTGTATTTGGAAAAACCAGCACCTGTAGAAAGCAAAGGGCACAAGACAACCTGGGCGACATTAATCTCACAGTTCCTGTTTCTGATTGATAAACTGAACGGAGAAGCGCCTGTCCGGGTTTTCCTAAAAATGACCAGATTTTAAAGTCCACAGAATAAGAAATACAATGGCCCTTCCCCATAAGCCCCTCTTATTAGCATACACTGCGGGCCTATCCTTGGCTGGTGGGAGAGCAGACAGGAGGGTATGGTGTGCTGGGCTCGAGCCAAACTGTCTATGGCTTGAACCTCTGACAAAGCATCCCACCTCTCCAAACATGTCACCAAAATACTCGACAGAAATTGGGAAACCAGACCTTTTTGATGTTGGCTAGATCTGATTCCTACCGTACGACTCTGACCTGAACTTGCCCAGAATCAAGCAAGCGAATCATCACGACGATGTTATTAAGGATCAGGACTTTCTTTTTGAGAGGAGGTAGAATTAGGAGATTAAGAGGGTGGAGGTTAAATCCAAATCCTACAGTGTGAGTTTGGATTGGAAGTAGCAGTATGAATTCATGATGAATTTTGTCTTTTTCAAATGCAAATCCTGCTCTTCACATTGAGAACCTGCATCGCTGGGGTCCTTGAGGCTCATGGGGACTTAAAGGAGATGAAGATAGGAGTATCTGCCTAGGAGGTGCCTAGGAGTATCTGCACGTTGCAAAGACGAACACTCAGTTTCAAGTCAATCTGGGAAGTTCTAGATTTCTTGCGTGGAGATAATCACATGAAGTGTTCTCAAAGACTCTCAATAAACCTAAAACTGTTTCTGCCTGTGACTCTCAGAAACCCTGCTTGCGGGGGAGGGGCTGGGGCTTAGAATCCCTATGGTTTGGTCACCACACAACGTGCCAAGAAAACACAAGATTGCTGTGCACGCGAAATGCAATCTGTGGCTATTTACTCATGTAGGGCTGGAGCGAGCGTTTAAGGTAACGCACAACTGCTTAGCATCTACTAGCAACAGACTGCTGTATTTTGTATTCTGCGTGACAGATAAAAGGGGGACACGAAAAAAGAGTCCTGGGGTGAGTTGGTAAAGTATGAAAATATAGAGCCATTGCTAATTTTATAATATAGATTTAAGATGTTTTATGAAAGTTTTGAAGTGTGATTGAGGGGCTTAGTGTCAGGAAGCCAGTGGACCGTGACATTTATGGAGAGAGATTTGAGGGTCGGTGGGTGTAAGCAAGGAGGGGAAAACACTCCTGGCTCGGGAAAGCAAGCCGATGATGAGAGCTTGATGTGCAACTTTGTGCCTATCCAAGGGACATTAGTCAGACTGTCTGGCGCAAATGACGCGCAGCGCGAGGGCGGGAAAGGCCCGGGCCCGGCTGGCAGAGGGAGGCCTGGCGGCCTGAGGAGCCTCACCGTCACCTCGCTCTACCTGTCAGTAACCTGGGGAAGGTGATTTAATCTCTAGGAGGCTCAGCTCTCTCATCTGCACAATGAGGATAAATACTATTTGCCTCACAAAGTGAGGATGGAATAAAAATAAAGTAGGCAAAGCCTGCAGCACAGTGGAGGACACTTAATCACTGTCAGCTCTCGTTGCTGGTAGGCAGGTGGGGTCAAAGTGATGAGCACCCTCAGTCGCCAGGGGAGAAGGGTTCGGATTCCATGCAGTTGGCGGTGAAGAGCTGTGGAACTGTCCTGAGCGCGGGGGAAAGTAATTAGCCCCGTAGTTTGGAAGGACACAGCCAGGCTGCAACCCCGGGAGACAGGAGGGGCGCCCGCACGTTGGCCACGTGGCGCAACTGGCCGGCGTTTCATAGGCAGGGCTGCTAGAGCTCAGGGCTTGCATGTGAGCATCAGGATAGGGAGGAAGAATTAAAAAATCGCTCAGGGTTTCCAGCCATTAGAAGGAGCAACGCAGGAGGCAAGTGAGCCTCGAGGAGGTAACGAGGCTGCTGTGGGACTCAGAAGGTTCTCTGGCATGCTCTGTTTGAGCGACCCCTCTGATCTCAGCGGTCCCTCGATCCTAGGGGACTGCCATGTGTTGAATGTGCTCTCACAGAAGCTGTCACTTGGTTCTCCGGCATGTGCTGCTCCAAATGTCCGTAGACTCCATGGGGAGCTTGGAGGAACGTGTTCCACAGCCAGACGCCAACCACTGTCCAGCCGGCCTAAGACGGGCCTCAGCTGTGCGCAAGTGGCCTCTGCTGGGAGACTTCTCCCCACAGCACTGGCTTGAAGCAGAGGCGGAAGTGCCTGCTAGGGTGAACATTCTACTCAACTCCAGTCTTTGTGTGCTTTTCTTGTTCCAATGTGCAGGACAGGAGAGAATTGGGAAGGATTCCAACTATGAGCAGGAGGGGAAAGTCCAGTTTGTGATCGACGCGGTGTACGCCATGGCCCACGCGCTTCACCACATGAACAGGGACCTCTGTGCTGACTACCGAGGCGTCTGCCCGGAGATGGAGCAGGCCGGGGGCAAGAAGCTGCTGAAGTACATCCGCAATGTCAACTTCAACGGTGAGTCTCCAGCGCGAATCACCATGCCCCCTGGAGACTCAGGCGTGGTTTCTGTTTCCTCAGGCGTGGTTTCACGTGGATGGCCAGATCCTCTTGCTCATGTGTCAGCTCCTGTCTCTCATTATGTAATTGCAAGTGCTTGAACTAGTGTCTAAGTGAGTACGTGGTGAGTGAATGAGCGTCCTATTAGTTGAACAGATCGGTATCCATCGTTTGCCCCCTTTTTAGTGAACTAGAGAAGATAAATAGATATTTGGGGGTCTTGGTTTGCCCCCCCTCTTTGTAAACTAGAGTAGGCTTTGCACAAGTCTGAATGCATGCTTGGTGACTATGAGCAGGAAAGGGACAGGGACGAAGAAAGACAGGGAGAGGCACTGTAAGTAGCCAAGTTAATGGGAGTAATTATTGTCACCTTCCACACCAATCACAACTCACACTGAATAATTTATTTCAGGGCATAAAACTCTGTTAGAGAATAAAAGTTTACGTAAGAGAGGAGGGTAGAGATGGGTGGGAACGGAGGTGAGTCGGTTAGAAGGCCTGAGTAAGTTATACCATTTCTCTGCTAATACCTGTCATCCTTTTAGGACAGTCTTTGCGCTTAAAATATCTCCATGCTCCACACACCAACAACATAATGTCTAGTTAAAATAAACCCAGATGTGGGGCCCACTAATTATGGTTCTCTAGAGAAACAGAACCAACAGGTTACATGTAGATATGTGTGAGGAGTAGAGAGACATGAGGAAATTTAGTGTGGGACTGGAGGATGGTAGGCTGCTACAGCCTGCCACCTATAAGAAGCAGAAAAGTGGAGTGTCATCTGGTGCTTGGCCTACCAGAGGGCTCAGGGGTAAGCTGTGCCCTGTGTCTGAATTAGAGAAGCAGAAGCAGTTGTACCTGAAGAAAGAAGATGGATATTTCCACTGATGCAGGAGAGCCAATTCACCCTTCTTCTGCCCTGGGTTCTCTTCGGGTCCTCAAGGGGCTGGCTGATAGCTCCCCAACTTGTGTGAAGCATCTGCTTTACTCAGTGCAGAGACTCAAATACAAATATATTCTACAAACACCCTCACAGACACAAATAGAAATGCTTTATCAGCTTTCTGAGCGTCTTAGTCGAGTCTAGTTGACTCATAAAGTTGGCCATCACATGGAATCACACACAATTCAATACAGACAGTAATGAATAAACCCGAGCCAACTGTATTACAAATAGGGGCTAGGTCGACGCTGAAGAGATAGAGGGAGAAAAAACTGAATGCAAGTAATTCTGGAAAACAGTATTTGACTAAGTATTGTTAGAATGACAACAAAAGTAACTATACATTGGCATCATATAACAACAGTAAATTTCTATATATTCACGATTAAGAAAAAAATGTATGGACATAGAGTACTGAGAGAATAACCAAATAGATTGTGTGTAATAAGAGCCAAGTTTCTTATTGATAAAGAAATCACTGTTGGTCCTGGAAGTGCTCTGGGGTTGGGGGCACAGGTCCCTGTGTAGTCAAATCTGCTTATACCTTTTGACTCCCTGAAAACCTCCCTGCAGTCATCCCTTGTATCCCCAGGGATTGGACTCCAGACCTCCTGCTGACATCCAAAGCCAAGGATGCTCAATTCCCTTAGCATATCTATCCATATCTGCAAGCTCTGTGTCTTTGACTTTGGTCAACTGACACCCCAAGCCGATTTTTCTACCCAAGGTAGAAAAAATCTGCATTTAAGTCAACCAGCTCAGTTCAAACCCGTGTTGTTCAACCAGTCAACTGTTTTAGTAACTAGTAATGATAAGAGAAAGCTAGAATAAAATTGTTGTGTTGGTTTAGAATAGAAGATGACACCACAAACTCCTGACTTTTAATGCAGAGACACCTGGAAGAGGGAGTAGGAGATGCATGTAGGTGGTACACACCTAGATGCATACCTCCCCTGCTTGGCCCTGTCCAGTGAGAGTCTAGAAGCAATGACACCCGGATGCAGATGGTGGTCACCAGCACCTCCCCTGCCTGTCAATGCCATTCTCTAGTGAAAAGAATCAGGGATCCCTGGAGAAAGTGTTGATCCCAGAGCCAGATCAGGGAATGTATAGGGTGAGCTGGAAATATCACACGGTACCAGAAAGCAAGCTAGCACTCAAGACAGTCGTGCCGAATGGGCAAGGCACCAACTTCGGGGCCATCTCTCTGGTCCATCCAGGACACAGGTGGATTCACTGCATAGAATGAAGTCCATACTGGTGCAAGTGAATGGTTCAGTTGAAAAAGTAACTCAGCAGCGGCAGAATGGTAGAGTCATGGAAGACTGGAAGAACAAAGCCGCCATTTTGCCATTTTGTTTCAGGCCTGACTCAACAATGGAAGTGGAAATTCTTAGGCTAAGGGTGATGCGAAGCAAATAATTTGCATGGTCTGAAAGTACCTTTTATCCAAAAATGTAGGAATTGCAAGGGGGAGGCAGTAGCTTTGTAGAGAAGACCAGAGCCAGGACCAAGGCGAACATCCCCAGTCGTGAGACTTGTCCCTTCCTGAGCATCTTGATAAGACACCCTGGGAAGCTTACAGCATCATGGCTGAAATTTGGTTGCCAAACAGTAATAACTTAATTCTGGTCATAAGGAAACATAAGACAAGTCTAAATTGAAGGGTATTTTACAAAAGAACTGGCCCATTCTATTCAAAAGTTTTCTGCTCACAAAACAAGCTGATGGAGAAGTTATTACAGACTAGCCCAGACTAGCGAGACGTTACTACTAAATGCAGTGACTTTAGTCACTGCACTGACTGATCCTATACCAGGAAAGGGACATGGATGGGGCCATGAAGGAATGTTAATAAAACTCTTACACCAACTGGTGTCAGCAGTAATATTAATTTCCTGGCTTAAGAAAATTATATTTTAACTAAATGTCTTCTTGTGTCTTGCTTGTAAATAACAATACACTTAAACTCCCAGTATTGTGTCAGTCATCCAGAAATGACCTAGTATGTGAAGTGAGAGGGTCAACAATCTCTTCCTTAAAGATGGAGGGGAAAAGAGCATATAACCCAGCAAATAGTACGATTACGAACTATCGTCCCTCGTGGTTTCTTTCCTTCCTCACAGGACCTGCTAGACTAGGTGACGTATTTTCCCAGAACCAAACACATAGAAAATTCATCACCGTTCAAACGCTGAGCAGCACATGCCGGGTCAGCGTCTGGCCTTTGTCTCTGCTCCACGGAGATGTGAGGCATGTCTTAGACGAGTGATAAAAAATTCGCTTTGAGAATATCCTCGCGGCGTCTCCCCCGGTTCTCACGCAGATCATGCCCGTAGACCCGTCCCCAAGGTGTTGCCTGACGATAGGTCTCCGCTTCTGAGTTCCGGCAGGAGACAGAGCTTGTGCTTATCCCGCGATGCCCACGGCCAGGAACGGCGCCACACGATGTGTGTGGCTCATTTAATATTCAGAGCATCCACATTGCTTCAATACTGTCGTTTCCCCTTTCTTGAATTACTTTGCATGTAAGAACTGGGGTGTGGGCCAGAGGCGCGGGAAAGGTTTGGGAGGACCCCCAGAGACAGCGTGGGGACAGAAGAGGCGGATCCACTGACACCCACTGCCTAGGGGCCAGCGGGGAGACAGGAGGGGTCCGCTGCGCCCTGGGGTCCCTCCCTGGCCGGGGTTCAGACTCGTGCTGCAGGGGCCGATGACTCCATAGTGCTGAGACTTAACTCCGCGCCCCAGGGAGGCCCCGTTTTCAAAGATGAGGAATCTGATTGTCAAGGGGAGTGTAGAATCATGACCCCCGCTCGCCTGGCCAAGCGGTGATGCTCTGCCCTGGGTCTCCGAGCTCCCCAGAGGCGGGTGCCCGCCACTGTGCCCCCTCCGCAGGTGCAGGGCGGGGTGGGCGACAGGCAGCCCAGCTGTTGCTCTTAGACTCGCTGGCAGTTCTGCTCCATGCTCACATCACCTACTCCCGCACACAGTGTTTGCTGCACGTGGACACTCCCGCAGGGGCCCTGTGATGCCGCCCACGCCTGGGCACTGTGACATGTCTCAGGAAGGAACCTTGCCAGACGCGGTGAGCGGGTGCCTTGTCAATCGAAGAGGCCGGTTGTCAGAGGGGAAAGGAGCTTTGCACTCACTCTCCTTCCTGATGTTTAGACAAAGAAGTCAGATCCTGGAGAGGAGCGAATATTTGCCCACTCCTTCGCAGCTAACTCACGGTGGACGTCCAGTCTCCTTGCGGGTCTGCCGTGAGCGATGCAGCATCTTCTGAACGTGTCAGGAGGATGTTGGTTCTCTTCTTTGTCGCAGTACACTTAATTATCCTCTTCTGTTGCTTTAGCACACAATTGTCTGCACCCCTGGGAGTTTTGTTCCAGGCTGTAGCGTGCAATTTAGGTGCTCTGACCGCACGTTGACCAGAGCACCCATCTGGGGAGTGATGATAGCCCTGCAAGTGCAGCCGCGCTCCGCCAAGACACACCTGCTGCTGGGCACCGGCTGGGGAGGCGGGGGCTTCTCCCCCTGCCAGCCTGCACAGGGCGAGGCTGAGCCCGCGCCTGTCGTCCATCTCGCCACAGTACTGAACCCAGCGGATGTCACTGCCCTCAATGGCGCAAGCCGCTGTCTCAGCTGTGTCACCGGGAGCTGTTGAGGGGCTCGATGTGAGCGTGTCTGAGCCGAGGATCACGGGTTGGGTTGAGGCCTACTCTATAAAGACGGTGCGTCTCAAGTGCTCCTCTTGACACACCAGGTGAGCACACCTTCGCTGACCCGTGACCTCTCACAATCAACGCGCTGTGACTTGGAAGGCCCCCCAGGTCGTCGGGCTGCTGCCTGGTTCTCCTGGGCCCTTTGCAGGAGTAACTCAGTTGTCCTGGTAGGGGGAGTCTGAATGAGGACAAAGCCACTCGGACGGGCCGCCTGTGAGTGCTCCTGCACCCCCCAGGTGAGGGCCCAGGAACAGCCAGGGTGGCGACAGACAGGGCCCACAGGCATCGCCCTGACGTGATGGGGCCAGGCGCTGCCCACTGAGCTGTGCCCAGCTGGCCAAATGCAGCTGGTGCTGTCTGAGCACTAAGTGATTCTCTGAGCAGCAAAGAGGCCTCGGTCGCCCTCGATGCTTCGTTTCCAGAAACTGCAGGTGAAATGGGAAGAGAACACTGGGGTCCATTCTTTGAGGTGGAGACTGGTCTTCAGGGCCAAGCAGCTCCCAAATCCTCTGTGTCCAGAGGGGCCATTTCCTGGGAGACTCAGCTGGAGGGGACGCTCCCCTCTGCCCCCTCCCGGGCCCTGCCCCCTCCCCCTGCCCCCTCCCGGCCCTCTCCTCCCTCCTGTCCCCACAGCAGCTCATGTCACCGAGATCCCTGCACCTGCCTGCCTGCCTTCTGCAGACATTCCCATAGGTGACGGCTTCTCCTTTGATAACTTCTTCCCCTTCTCTAAGCTCCTTTGCACTTTTAGTTTTTAATATAGAGTTCATTGAACACAAAATCCCACTTTATCTTTCAACAGTTTCGGAGATGTTGCTAAAAAGGAGCTGTGGGGGAAAAATAGTAGAAAGGAGTCAGCCACATTATCGAATCCAGCAGAAAGGTCAAAGCTCCACGCTGCGGTGTTACAAGTCGTCACTTAGATAAAGCATTCAGCTCCTCTGCCTTAATTTATTTTTTAAGCGTGAACTTTAACGAGAATGGAAAGGGCGTGACAGGAATCATTTCTCTTAACAGAGGAGCTAAGGAGGGAGAAGGAGCAGGCGCCGGCGCCTCGCTGAGGAGCCTCCAGAGGGCTCGCGAGACCCGGCTCTCCCGACCTCCGGCCTCTGCCGCTGCCCGCTCAGAGTTGATGGAGAGTCGGGGCCGAGCTGTGCAGTGAGTGGACGCTGTGGGGCCGCGGCCCAGCCGAGGCCCAAGTCCAGTGTGAAAGGAAAGAGGCCAAGTCTCGAGGGATAACCTCTTTCTGCGAAACGAGACGATTCTTGTTTTCTGCCTACTGACATGGCGGCTGTTGCCTCCTGACGGTCCAGACTTCCCTTCTTGTCCTCTGGGCTCGAGCCTGCTGGAGGGGAAGCCAGGCCGCTCTCTCGGCGGCGTCTCCGCTCCCGGCCTGGAAAGCGGCGTCTGGGCCCCCAGGCTGTCGGCTGTGACAGGTGTCAGCACAGTGAGGCCTGGACCACACCGCGCGGGCTCCTGAGCAGGGTCCTGGCCTGGAGCTAGCGGGCTCACGGCGGGTCGGTTCAGGCCAGTGCCCACTCTAGCATGGACACAGCCCGCCGTTGGGAAAATAAAAGATAATTACAGCGATGGGGAAATGTAAATGAGAGCCGATTGGGAGAGAGGCGGTGGCTGTGCCGGCAGAGATGTGCATCTGGCCTGTCGAAGGCTCATGCCTGGTGGTGAGATAATCGACAAATAAAAGGAGGGTAAAAACGAGTCTGTGAAGGGCCTCCCAGGCGGCGCAGGACAGCGCTACCACGTTACTGCCAGCCCCTGCAGCACGAGTCTGCTCCCGGCGTGGGCAGGGAGGGGCCCCGGGCGCGGCAGCCCCCTCCTGTCTCCCCGCTGCTCCCTCAGCAGTGGGTGTCAGTGGATCTGCTGTTCTGCTCCCCGCTCTCTCTCCGGGGAGTCCTCTCACCAGCCCCCACACCTCTGGCCTGTACCCCAGTTCTTGTAAGCATAAATAAATAAATCCTTAAAATAAATGAGTCCATGAAGCTAACACAGTCACTTTTTTTTTCACTACTGTTTCGTCCTGCCAACTGCCCCATGTGGTTACTATGAAGAGATGTTTGACTCAGATTCGATTTTCAAAGGAGACACACACACACACACACACGCACACACACATTACGCATGTAAGCTTTCTACACGTACACACTTGCACTCAATGACTTATTTAGTCTTTTAAAATTGGCTTTATTGTCTAATTATGCCAAAAAAATTGATTTTCCTTTAAGGTGGGTGTTTAAAGAAGTAAGACCCAAATGGGAGCTTGAGAGAGAAATCAATATTTATTAAACACTCATCAGGCAGGCTGCTAAGCATTTCACACTGATTATCATATAAAGTAAATGAGGAATAATCAGCAGAAAAGGTACTTGCAAATCAGTGCCCCTTTTATAGTTCAGTCAACTTTTTTCCTTGTTTGCTCGTGTGTTTTTCACTTCTCTGACGTGACCCATTTTAAAGGTGTCTGTCATATAAATGGTGCTTTATTGGCCACGACTGAGCTGAGTGGAACATGATTACCATCCAATGGGAAGTTGTCTCCAGAAAATAGTGCACTCAATGCTTAGTCCTCGCAAGGGTGAAATGGTGAGAGCGAAAAATCAGGAGAAGCCCACACCTGTCATCCGTGGCCTCGAGCCACAGCGGTGACTTTGGGGGCCACTTTGGGGGGCCTCACGGGGCTGGGAGTTAGCTGCCAGCTGCCTGGCTCCTCAGCAGGGCTCCAGCCCCGCGGGGCACCCGGGAAGGGGTGTCGCTCACGCCTGTGGTCTTCCTGCTCCTCAGGCAGTGCGGGCACCCCCGTGATGTTCAACAAGAACGGGGACGCTCCGGGACGCTACGACATCTTCCAGTACCAGACCACGAACACCAGCAGCCCCGGCTACCGGCTGATCGGACAGTGGACGGATGAGCTCCAGCTTAACGTGAGTAGACACGTGCGGGAGGTGAAGGCACTGGCCGGATTCTGCTTGTGTGGTCACGAGTAGACGTGGACACGCTGCTGGTGACCGGCGTCGGTGGTTGATGATCGGCGATGATGGAGCCGTGGCAATGGCTGGTGGTGACGATGGTAGCGGCGGCCGTGGTGGGAGACGAGGGATGAGTTCACGCGGCGTTCCTAGCTCTGTGTGAATGAGCTCATTTAATCTGGGGGGTGATTTGTTGAACCAGCTCATCCCTCACACACTCCGTCTCTTTACTGAAGTTTTCTGGCTTCTTGCCTTCTTTCTCTCCGCTTTCTTTGTGGAATTTATACATTTTTTTCTGATAATGCATTTGAGCGAGTCACTTTGTCCTGAGATTCTGGGAATAATTGCCGTCTTAGTGCCTTCCACAACTCTCCCTCTTTCTTTAAAGTGTGATCTTGAGTAATTATCCGCGTGGTCATGCAAGGGCATGTCAGAGTTCACCTGCCAGAGGCCATGGGGAGCTCATCTGTATGCAGTCGCTGTTACGTTTATATAACTTGCTGCATGAAGGACAAACCCCTGCCAGCAAAACTCGGGAGCTCTCTGGGGTAAAGGAGCCGGGCTGGTTTAATGACAAACCTTGGGCCGAGTTGGACGAATCTCGGGAGGTTGTGTCCTTCCAGGAAGTAGCGCGGGTCTGGTGATTGCGTGTCTGGGCTGGCTGGACGTGGGAGGATAAAAGCAGGCAGGAGTTGTCACTAACAAGGAAACAGGCTCTTACGTGAGTGGGAAAGGGGGAAGTCTCGCCATATCCGTGTTTCTGTGTGGTTGAGGACGCGCTGTAGCGTGGCCTGGCTTTTGCCTCGTCCCTGCGTAACCGTGGGTGACCTTGGCCGGCGATCACGTGTGTTCTGCTGGGAAAGCGCCGCCTGGATGGCCACGGGCAGCTGTCCAGCCACTATCTTTCTTCCTTTGTGTGCTGAGTGTCTTGGCCTCGCCATGCAATGTAGCACC